GTTTGAAGAACCGAGTTCATAATTGCGGGAAAATGAACGGACAGAACATTCATTTTAGAAACAAATTGCTGTTTGCAATTAGATTACGTAACAGTTTATTCGAGTAGAGCTGTCTTGACTGGGACGGACGGCCAACCATACAACCCGATGCTTTAGACTGATAAATTTTGTGAGTTCAAACTAATTACTTCCGTAAATTTCTAGAGCTAGTATAGTTTTCTACTTGATTGCTTCCAGAGTAGTTGTCAAAGTTCCTACAAAGTTTTATTTAGAAATATGTTGAGATAAAATCTATTGTCCAGTAAAAAACAATCGTGTTTTTTGAGCTCCCAGCCCTGTTTTTAAAGTCGTTCAAGTGCTTAAAATATTTAGTGACGTAGCCATGGGGAAGTGCTTACTTTTGGCGTGGGAGGGGGTTATTTTGATAGTAGCCTTTTAGCTGTAACACGATCTCAATTTCCCATTACTTAAGCAAACCGATTTAGCTCCGACAGATTGAGGTTCAAAAACACAAGAGGTAAAATTCCTGAACCTTGAGCCATTAGTTACAGGCGCTATTTCTTTTATCCGCGTATGTGACTTAAGCGGACGAATGCTATGGACGGACCCATATTACGCAGGTGCACCAGTTTGAAATAAATGTTAGGCGCGGAAAATAAATGTTAGGTCCTAAAACGACTGGCTAGCGTCTAAACACAATTTCACTTGCTTTTAACCGTTTAAACCGAAACTGGAATTAGAGAATAGATCAGCCAAAAGTTGTTTAACTTCGGTCTTTAGTCTTTTCCCAAGACCCTTCCGGAAGCTGAATCCGGCCAAAGAGCTGTCTTGTTGTCGACCAGGAAAGGTAGCAAACTCCTCCAATAGCCCTCCTTATTCTCGGGAATTACTTCGTAACGAATGAATCTGCACAATTGAACAATTCGGAATGCTCTTCCGCTAATGTACTCGACTGTAAATTTCTATCAGCTTATTTCAGCGATCTGTCTGTTTTCTCTCAACGAAAATTGCCGTTCAAATTTTTGCGGTTTTTTCAGTTGTAGCGAAAACAAAAAAGGGTACAGGTCTTTTTTTGAACGAATTTTCAAAAATAAGCATGTCAACACTTCTCAATCCGTTCATTTTGCGAAACAAGACCATTAATCAAAGAAACTGCTCTATCGTACAGTTGAACTACTCAATCAATTTCGTTTTGACTAACCATTTTTTGTCGGCATTCTGGTCGAATGGCACACTTCTGATCTATAGGTTTCTGAGCCTATAGGTCCATGATTTGGTCCGAGAAGAGCGGCTCAGTTCATGAACATTGCTAGCTTGTGAACATGTTGCGTCAGGGAACATTCCTCCAAGTTTGAGACCGTACTTTTCCTCTGCCAACCTGTTTGCGCTCGGTAAAAAAGATGGTGGTGTACGCCCTATCCCTGTAGGCAACACCCTGCGGCGACTTCTCTCTAGGTGTGCGGGAATTATTGAGAAAACCAATCGCAAGACTAGATATGGGCATCTGCAGCTCGGCTACGGCTGTACTAAAGGAGCTGAAGCGGCGGCCCATGCGGTGAAAAATTTGGTGTCTACTGACCTTCCCGAGGATTTTGTTATGGTCAAGATTGGTTTCCGCAATGCTTTCAACTCCATCTCGTGAGAAAAACTACTGGACACCGTCAAAGTCAAGTCGCCGGCAATTTAAAATTACACGGTTCTAGCGTACGCAACTCCAAGTTATTTATTTTTTGGGAGTATTGTCACTATGTCGGAAAATGGCGTCCAGCAAGGCGATCCCGATTGCCCACCGCTCTTCTCGGACCAAATCATGGACCTTATCGATCGCTTTTCCTCGCTCTTGAGTTTTTGGTATCTTGATGATGGGAACTTGGGTGACATAGTTATAGTTGCTTTAGCCGACTTGTCAAAAGTAATCGAGTCTGGAACTGAACTCATCTAAGTGTGAACTTGTCTTTCTGGGTTGCCCTGACGACGACCTCAAAGCCTTTTTCAAACTGATTTTAATCGAATCTTGAAGATTGAAATTACTGATCATAAAGACCTTGTCATCCTTGGTGCTCCTATAGGCGATGAAGCAAGAAGGACACTTCTTACTGGAAAAAAAACAAGAACTCGACAACATGTGTGACTTTCTCGAAAACGTCGATGGCCTTTCGGATAGCTTATTAAGGCTATCCTCTATTAGTAAAATGGCAATTAGACTTTAATCTCTTCAGATGCATATTAGGCTCGTGCTGGGTTTTTTTTTGGTGTTAAGATGACAAAATATAATTATTAGTACTATAATTTTATTGCTAAACCAACCAACTGGTTTTGATTTTGGTGGTATATGATTTTGTGTCGTTATTCAGTAATCTAAAACTAAGCGAACAAATAGAACGTACATTAATCGTATAATAATTTATTCAATTCCTCACAGTTCAACTATACGCCTTCAGCATTTATTCAAACTTCAAATTCCTGTTATTTGTACTAAATGTCACACGGCCACCACGCGCTTCTTCTGCTTAGAAACTGTTTGAGTCTGCCCAAGCTGTTGTAATTTTTGCAAACTGCGTGCTGCTTGAAGGAGGAGGATCTTCTTCGTGAGTACGACAAACTAGTTGTGAGCGCCCTTTCTCGATGTGCCAATGTTAGGCTCGATGCTAACAGCCAGCTGCAGTCTTTGTTGCCTTCTTCTTCCGGTGGTCTTGGTCTGACGTCTGCTTTCCATCTCGCGCTTCCCGCATTTCTTGCGTCTGCGGTTGGTTGTGGTAGCCTGACTCAGACCATTCTTAGTAAGTTTGACATCGGCGATGATGCTGACATTACCTTGGCTTTTACCTCTTGGTCATCCAAAACAGGGTTACAGAATGTGTTGTCACAACGTGAGCTTCAGAAGTCTTGGACAGCTCCGATCTACAAAATGTTATCTTCCGAACTTCTTGATAGTCTTGACGACATTGGTAAGAAGCGTTTTTTGTGCTTTCAGGGTAAACTTCCTGCTGCTTGGTTGAATGCATTATCCTGTCAGTTGCTAGGTTTGAAACTCACCAATTCTCAACTCAGAATCTCGGTCGGCCTTCGACTCGGGACTCCTCTGTGCGTTGAACATGTTTGTGTTTGGGGCAAGTCAGTCGACTGCTCGGGCTGGCATGGTTTGTCTTGTTCTGGCAGCGCTGGGAGGTTCGCCAGGCACCAGGGATTTCAATACAATATCAAAATATTGAGCTCAATATCAATATCTTCCATTCAAAATCAATATCAATATCAAATAGGATGAAATTTCAATATCAATATCAATATCAATATCTAAAAGCTCAATATCTCAATTTTATCACTATTTTAAGATACCAGAGACCAAATTCAATATTGAATTTCGAAATATATAATTAAATTGTTTAGTTTTTTTTGCAATGTAATTGTTTTTTGTTTAATTTGTTTAATTTTAATGCTTGAGTGAGAGGCTCTTTCACATTTCAGAAGTTTTTTATCATCATGTGTTTTATGTGTATGTGTTAAAACGCCACGTTTCAAGCAATGATACAAAATCCGTTTTTCTCAATATCTACAAAAAATTCAATATCAATATCAATATCTAGCCTTCAATATCTCAATATTAAAAATTCAATATTGACATCGTCTCAATTTCAATATCTGATCATTCAATATATTGCAATACCTGCCAGGCACTATGTTGAATCAAATAATCAAAGATTCACTTGGCACTATTCAAATACATTCCATTTTGGAACCACAGGGTCTTAGCCGCACTGATTTCAAGAGACCTGATCAACCTTCTTTGACTCCTTGGATTCGTGGGTCTTCTCTCATTTGGGATGCTAAGGTTGTAGATAGTTTAGCGCCCTCCAGGCTCCATGATGGTGACTTGTATGCCGGTAAAGCTGCAGCTGAAGATCTGAAAGCGAAGATATCTGAGCCCTTAGTCCGAGATGGATTTTATTTCCAGGCAGTTGCCTTTGAGACACAGGGAGACTGCGGCAGTGACACCCTTAAATTTATTCGTGATCTTGGTAGACGCCTTACTGATGCCAACCATGAAACTCGTGCCACATCTTTCTTAAAACAGCGTATTTCAGTAGCACTTCAGATTGGGAACGCGGCATCCGTTCTTGGGACAATAAAGCCCACTGACTCTCTTGAAGACATTTTTTTTATCTCTGAGCCTTGATTTTGTTCGTCTTAGCTTCCTTTCCCTTTTTATCATTGTATATTTGTATTTTGTACATATATTTGTACATAATCTATGGTAGTCCCAGTTTTAACATACGCCAGCCCCTGCTATGGATTAAGCAAATATGTCACAAATGAACTTGAGACAATTCAAAAAAGAGTCGTCAAATGGATTTTTCCTGGAACATTGGCATACAAAGAAAAAATTGCTCAATTGCAAATTTTACCGCTTCCTATGTATATACAGATAAATAATATTTTGCTGCTTTCAAAAATCGGATTAGGAAGATACGACGATATGCATGTAAATGTGCCCATAGTAACAGAGTCCTCTCGCGGTGTAATGTTTCAGCTGAAACGGACTAAACGCCTGAAAGCTGAACAAAATTTCTTCTATCAAACTTGCAGACTGGTCAATACTTTAAAGATAGACGTGAGTGTTTATTGTGGTCTCAAACAGTACTACTGAGGAAATTCTGGTTGAAATTTGGAGAATGTAATGAAGTTGACAAGTGCACGTGGAAAATTGGATGCGATTGTGCGGCGAACAACTGCCGAAGCAAGACGTACATATGACGATACTATGAAGGGACCAGGACCCCATGTGGAAACACAGAAGCCATCCTACTACTGCTACTACTAATGTTTCGTTCCTTAGAGAATTTAATTCTTTCAAAAAAAATCGTCATTCGAGAAAGGATGTATCATAAAAGTCGTTTTCACTGCGTTTATCCAGCCTCGATTGATCAAGTTGATATAAACTTGATGTTTTGTCCTTGGCTAATCGCAATTATAGTCGTTTGAAAGGATTCCTCCGCATCGATGTTGAAATATGTTTTTTTCTAGATTGCAACATGATCGGTAGAAAGCCTCGCAATGCTGTTATTTTTACCTCGATGGACTCACCATTTTTGCAGATATTGGATTGTGTGTTGTTTTTGAAAACGACACGCAGATAATTTATTGTCATTGTTCTATTCAAGTACATAACTTTGCGAAAATGTCGTCGCGTATCGTCGAAGGCGTTGTAAGATATGAGCCTGATTCAACTTTGCCAAATTTATGCGTCAGAGGCAATGAAGGATTTTATCTGTATTCGACTGTATCCGAAGTGAACCAGAAACCGCCTGTAGAACCTTATCAGCTTGACGCGTAAGCCGAATTACAATAGAAAGATTGATTTAGCATTGACGCTAATGTTCATCGAATAATTGTTATCTTTTTTCTAGTTGCATGACGTAAGTTGTTTCTTCATGTTTCAGTCTATAACTGACCCTTTTCTTCCTCTTGTTTGACTTGATATTGTTGATTATTAAATGCCAATGAAAGCGGTGAAGACGGGTGCCGGACATCAGGCTGCTCACTTTAAGCCGAAGCTTTTTTTAAAATTACAAACTTGGAATCAATTGAAATTTGTTTTCGACTAATTCCATTGAGAATATTTTAAAATTTATTGGCTTTTCATTTATTTTGAGCATTTCATTGAGTTTAAAAATGTCAAAAAGGAAAACAGTGTTGAAGCAGAAGGCTTATAACTTAGGTGTAGAAGGTGTATTTTTCTAGTGTATAATTTATGCATTTTAAAAATCTACTGACGTATCAACAAAATTTATATTTTAATCCCGCATTGTTACCAACAGCGATTAGGATGGGCTACTTCAGCTCAGTTTTAGTGTATTTGAATTTCTGGTAAAATTCTGTATTTCGGCCATAAGTCTCTTCGGCGTGAAGTTCCTTCGACCTGTTTTCCTACACCCAGTGAAGGTACTTACGTTTTTCATGATGATTTCTTTCCGTTTTTTTTTTCCAGAAAAGTCAAAATCTGATTCAGCCCAAATTTGACTATTTGTGATTTCAAAGAGCAAGGTCTTGAAAAAAGTGTTGTTCTGTTTTTTGGAATTCTGATTCATTACCCTTGCGATAAGTAAGGATATAGCAATCGGGTGCAAGACTTTTTTCCCGTAAATAACATTGTTCACAGAGTGGTCAAAATTAGAAATGGTAATTTTCAGTTCAGTTCATAATAAATTCAATTTATTTCTGCGTCTCCTGCACATTTGGTCTCGAGGTAACGAATTTTAACATGTATGTTTCAGTGTATGTTTGATTTACTTGAGTTTGGTGGGGCTATCTTATTGCAATTGATATTTTAATCAAACCCTTATTTTACATGGTAGCAGGAGATAGTTTTAGCAGAAAAAATGATGATCTGCAAAGCCGCACTGAGTTTTATTAGTGAGACCATGTCATAAACCTGGTGGTCTTCTATAGAAGCCGAGTTATGAGGCAAATTACAGAAGTCCCAAAAGCGAAAAGGGGCATGTTGGCCTTGTCACTTCCAGAAGTTGATGGAGTGTTGAAAGTCAACACGCGAGAAAAGCTTCTTAATGAAATGGACCTTGCGAAACTGGAATTAGAGAATAGATCAGCTGAAGTCGTGGACGGAATTTACAAGGAAGATGATCTGGCAAATGCATTTGAAACTTTGAATGAGTTTGAAAAATACAAAAAAGAGCAGGAAACTGTTTACTCTAAAAAAACTTAAATATAAAATTATTCAAAATTAGATTTGGCTAAATGACAAATTGCAGAATCTTCAATCATGGTACAAAGTTTTAAAAATCGTAATAAAATCTATGCTTTACAAAGTAAGCTACTAAGAACAATACCAGATAATAAAAACTCCATTCAAAAAAACGGTAAAGGAATCGACGGAAAATAGGCCGATAACCACTAATTCGGAAAAAATCGACAGTTTTTCACGAAAATTATTTGAAGAAATAATTACTACCGGAAACGATTAGCACTTATTACCTACCTTGACGAAAGGAGTTTCATTTCAATTTTCGAGAAATTGAGCATGTCTTGAAATTTACAATTGACTATTCTCTGAACAAAGTTATTTACGGGAAAAAAGTCTAGTACCCGATTGTAATACCCTTGGATATCGGGTTATTATCGCAAGGGTAACACAGCTTGTTTTGAAACAAAAAAAACAAGACAAAGAATCTAAAATCAGCATAGGAAGAAAAATACAAAGCGGTAAAAAAAGTTGAAAAAGCCTAAGCAGAAAACCTTTAAGCCGAAAAAATCAATGTCATGATCTTAGAATATCATGATGTCATTGAACTGTAATGTCAAACATTATCCAAGAAAAATAGTTATCTTTATTTAGTTGTGGATTGTTTCTTATGGAATTTTAGCTGTTTGTTTATTATATAAAACTGTAAATATCACCAAATTGTTCATACTGATCAAGTATACAACAATCACTAATCGATTAGTGCAGCTACCAGCAACAACGATAGCTGTAATAATATACAATTAATGCTAAAAACCTCGCTTTTACATATATCTCAAGTCCTGACCGCTCAAGTCAGCATATGGTGACAGGAGTGGGATTGCCATCAGAGCGATGCGAATTCATGCGGAAGAAGACAAAAACAAGAATACGGATATTCTAATTCATTAAATCCTGGCAATTTTGAGGAATTTTGCATGGTGCTGACGTCTGCTAACAGCCATCATAACCAACGACCAAGAGTGGGCCAATTCAGGATAGCCGCGAAGAAGGCCACTGCTGAAAAAAAAAATGAAAAAAACCCACTCAAGGGTTGATAGCAGTTATTCTAACATCCAGAGACAGAGAATATTGTCTAAAAACCGAAGCAGCCATGTCATTTTCATCGACATTGTCTTATACCAACTGATCAGTGGTTTGTTCGACCAGTGAAAATCAATTACCGGAAAACTTTTTTAAAGAGTAGTTGTGTCATGATCTTAGAATATCATGAAGTCATTGACCTGTAATATCGAACATTATCCAAGAGAAATAGTTATCACTATTTAATTGTGGATTGTTCCTAATGGAAATTTTGCTGATTGTTTATTATATAATACTCTAAATATCACCAAATTGTTTATACTGATCAAGTATACAACAATCACTAATCGATTAGTCCAGCTACCAGCAACAACGATAGCTGTAATAATATATAATTAATGCTAAAAACCTCGCTTTTACATTTATCTCAAGTCCTGACCGCTCAAGTCATCATTAATCAACAAGACTTAAGGCTTATAAAAAGTAAACCAGTCCCCCTCACCCTTAAAACAAACACGCAAGAAATTTTAATTGCCTGTCAAATGAAACCGTATGAGGCCAATAAACCGATATAATATAGGCCGAACGCCGAAAATTTTTTAAGTACCCTCACTCTGAAAACACATACATGCACAAAACTTTGTTTGCTCATCAAATGAAACAATATGAGGCCACTAATCCGATATAATACCAAAATTTATTTAGCCAAAAAAGAAAAAAGCCTAATAAATCAAAAAAAAAATTAAGGCCAATAAAAAGTTTGAGACCAACAAAGAGTCCCCCTAGCCGCAAAACAAACACATGCACATACGAACTTTTTCCGCTCGTTGAAAGACGCAGTATGAGGCCGTTTAGCCGATATAATACAGGCCAAAAACTATCAAGCGGAAAAGACCGAAAAGCAAAAAAAAATCCGAAAAAAAAATTGTTGTCATGAAAAATTTGAACTACTTTCTATTGAGATTTTTAGCATTTTGAGCTTTTAATAGCTCAAAACTAAAAAGTTTAGCTCAAAATTAGAACACTAAGCCAAAAAAAGCCGAAATTATTTGGGCAGAATAAACTTTTAAGCGAAAAAAAAAAGAAAATATCAAAGCAGTAAAAGCAAGTACAATGTAAACCAGGATAGTCCGTTACAGTGCAACAACTAGAGTTTAGGCATATTCGAAATTCATAGTAAATTATGCCAATTAAAAAACAACTTTTGTAGAAAAAAAATTTTTTTTAAAATTTTTTGCAGTCTTTCGATTTTTTGATACCAAAAAAAGCGCTAAAATACCCAAAATCTACTTTTACTCGAGTAAATTTAAGTTTTACCTTTCAAATTCAGCTATTGTAAGTTTTTAAGCCATTAAAATAAGCTATTTTAGGCCAGCTCGCTCACCCTTTCCGCTCGAATTCAGACGAAAAACCAAAAATTTCATACCGGTTTTTCTCGACACATTGCGGATTTTTTAAATTTTTTTGAATGTCGTTCAAATCACGACTGTAAGTGCTTGAATATGATAAATTACTCAGCTCTCTCCAATAATCAGTATTAGTTGATTTTGTGTGGAAAAACTGAAACACACCCGAATACAAAGTTCCGCCTCATTTTTAAAATGGTCGCAACAATTACGAACAGCAAAAAAACAATTCTACGCTCTGGTAACTTAGCCGAAAAAAAACATAAGCAAACAAATCAAAGGCCGACAATTTTTTCAAACGGAACTATTTCTGTTTGCAAAAACTAAACACGGGTCCTGTCAGATTCGAACTCAGGGCCTTTGCCGTCCCAAGGGTATTCGTTCTAAAACAAGGGTTTGATTAAAATATCAATTGCAATAAGATAAAGCCCCATCAAACTGATGTACATCAAACAGACATCTGAAACTTACATATGTTAACAGATTCCTCTCCACCTTTATTTGCCGCAATAAGCACTACTCTATAGAGACAAATCGCAGCGAGACAAATCGTAGCGAGACAAATCGTATTTTTAGTGAGAAAATCAGCAAGTTGCAGCTTGTCACTAACCATCGTATGGATTTCAACTATTTTCCAACATTGTTTTTATTGCAGCCAGGTCTATTCTCAGCCGTTTCTCACTCACACTTTTTGTTGAAATTAGGTTGTCATGTAGCGATTGGTTGCCCACGAAAACAGTAATTTCTATTATCGATTGCGTAAGTTCTTCTATAAAACTCTTTAAGCAGAAGGCACAGTCCAAGGCATCTCCCAAAGCTAACGCTGCGGCTGCCAGAGTTCTTTTCACGACACGTCGTGTTTTGTCAGAATTCCACGCTAGAGGGCAGCTTTTCCGATTCTGCCCTACTACCAAGATATCAAACCCGAAATCGCTCGAAAACAAATCAGGTAAATTGGCGTGCGAAGCATCACTAAACACAGCTAATAACTATTTGTCAATACCACCGAGATCAGGATATAAAATGTAATAAGAATTTTTTTTTATTTTGGCAATAAGTTTGTCTACTTTCTTAAAAATGTCGATTGTTGCCCTAACGCGTTGAAAGCTGTATGCGGCCTAGTCGTTGAAGCCAGACAATTT